CAAGAGACTCGCTTGAGCCCAGGAGTTGGAGGTTGCTGTGAGCTGTAATGCCACGGCACTCTACCCAGGGGGACAGCTTGAGGCTCTGTCTCAAAAAAATAAAAAAAATAAAAATAAAAAAAAAGAATTTTAGTTTCTTGCTTCCTATACCCACCCTAGACTGTACAGGATGGTACAGGGGCACTTGTCTTAAAACTTATCCTTACCAACTCACATTTTTTAGGAACACACATATGTATACTCTGTTGTACGTGGTAGACTTAGCCTAATCCAGTGAAAGGTAGATCTGGTATGAAAAGTATGTCCCATGTCCTAGGATTAGGCAACCCTCACCTGACATTAGCTTCCTCTCTGCACCTTATACTTGGCTTACCCTCTCCTAAACTTTTGGCATCACCTCTTATTTAGACTAATTTCCAACTATCAGGGGTCAGCCCAGTTAAAATTTAGTTCCTCCTGAAACATTTTCAAGTGGAAGGAGTTTCAAGAAGACATTGGCAGAAAAGCCAGCTCTCATTGGCAAAAATGAGGTAGTTAGTAGACTGTTGCTTTCCAGATAGTTGCTCTCCATGGTGATAAAAACAACAGAAAGCGTTCTTGCTGCGCCGACCTAGGCTGCTGCCTGCCAGCTCATCCCTGCAATTGTTCATGTACCCGATAACAGTAGAGGAATGAGAACTAGTAGACATTAAAATAGACAGAAATACAAAACCAGAATGTTTATATTAAGGGAAAAAAACATAAATGCCCAAGATAGGTCATTTGCAGATTGCTGTGCAATTGGCATCCTGGAGAAATGGGATCCAGTGCATCCAAGGGAACAAATAAATAAAATCACGCTGGCCCAGAATGGGGTGGAGTGAGCCTAGAAGTGGCAGGTCTGTAGCTATTTCCCAGCCAGCCTTTTGCCTGCTATCATTACCTGTTGCTTGGGACAGTTCCCAGCACACAATTCCAAGAGTGGGCATAAGGATACAAGATGTGAAAAAAGTTCTGCCTTACTCCTGAGAGATTCCTTCCCACAGTAGGTAGTGGCTGTGGGTTGGGTCCACTAATCTAGTCTCAAGCTTAATTATTCCAGTCCAGCATGGGAAATATTACACATCCTTCGTAAAAAGCAAAACAATTGGCTTGGCGCCTGTGGCTCAAGTGGCTAAGGCGCCAGCCATATACACCTAAGGTGGTGGGTTCAAATCCAGCCCGGGCCCGCCAAAACAACAATGACGGCTGCAACCAAAAAATAGCCGGGTGTTGTGGCGGGTGCCTGTGGTCCCAGCTACTTGGGAGGCTGAGGCAGGAGATTCGCTTGAGCCCAGGAGTTGGAGGTTGCTGTGAGCTGTGATGCCATGGCACTCTACCCAGGGAGATAGCTTGAGGCTCTGTCTCAAAAATAAATAAATAAATAAATAAATAAATAAATAAAAGCAAAACAATTTCCCTGTCCAGGCCCTTTCAGGAGCTAGAGATCTGGGAGTAGAGTTTCAGACAAAGCATGCATGTTCCAGGGCAATTTCTCCCAATGTACTCCCTGGCACTAGAACAGAGTATAATTGAAGTTTCTTTGCCTTGCCCCTTTCCTCACCAAGAGGGAAGAAAGGGTGATGCTGTGAACCCTGGGCTGAGATACATGGCAATACCAGCTAACCCATGCCCATTTTCTTCACTCTGTGATGGACACCTGCTCCTTGAAACTTTTTGATAGTGAAAGAACAGTCCCTACCACCATGGCTCAAGTTCAGCCCTCCAGGAGCAAGGCTGGTTTGTGGGTCTCTTTTTTCTCTTGAAAGTTGGCAGGCTTTCCCTGTCAGCTGGGAGCCTGTTAGGCCTGTCAGTGACTGAAATTCGGGCAAAAGGGCACCTCTTGGGCTAGCAGCTTGCATTCCTTGGCATGGTGGTGTAGACTTTCACAGTTGAAGCACCTGTATCCTTTTGATCCATACTCCATACTTCGCATGTTCTTTTTTGGGGGAGACAGAGTCTTATTCTCTATTGTCCCGGGTACAGTATCATGGCGTCATCATAGCTCATAGCAACCTCAAACTCCTGGGTTCAAGCAATCCTCTTGCCTCAGCCTCCCAAGTAGCTGGACTACAGAGATGTGCCACCAGGCCCAGCTCCTTTTTTCTATTTTTAGTAGGGATGGGATTTGCTCTTGCTGGTCTTAAACTCCTAAGCTCAGGCAATCCACCCACCTCAGCCTCCCAGAATGCTGGGATTACAGGTATGAACTACTGCTCCTGGCTTATTTTTTTTTTCTTTTGGACAGAGTGTCTCGCTCTGTCACTTGACTAGAGTCCAGCAATGTCATTCATAGCTCACTGCAACTTCAAACTCCTGGGCTGAAGTGATCCTTCAAACATAGCCTTGTAGCTGGGGCTACAGGAGTGTACAACCACATCTGGCTGAGTTTTTCTATTTTTGGTAGAGAAGGGGTCTCACTTTTTCTCAGACTGGTCTTGAACTCCTGACCTCAAGCCATCCTGTCTCAGCCTCTCAAAGTGCTAGGATTACAGGTGTGAGCCACTGTACTGGGCCCACACCTCTGCATGTTCCTCCCCTCTGACCTCCTCTCACTTGCAGTACAGAACATCCCACCTGGGCCAGGCATGGTGACTCACACCTGTTGTCTCAGCACTGTGGGAGGCCAAGGCAGGTGGATCGCCTGAGCTCAGCTGAGTTCAAGACCAGCTGAAGACCAGCCTGAGGCAGAGTGAGCCAGAGTGAGACCCCCGTCTCTACAACAACAAAAAGACAGCTGGACCTTGTGATCCCAGCTATGTGGGAGGCAAGAGAACACTATAGGAGTAAATAGTAAAAAAAAAAAAAAAAAAAAAAACTTCAAAGTAAGATAAGTTGAAAGCAAAAATTAAAAAAAAAAAAAAAGAACATCCCACCTGTCCTATGACATGGTAGATTATAGTCCCTTGGTGGAGTTCTTAAAGATGAGCTCCATTGCCCCATCCTCTCCTGGGCTCCAGAAGCCCTCCATGCACAGCATAGTCTGACATCCACTTGGGGGTGGGCAGAGCACACATAGCCCAGTACAGGTGTCAGGGACAGGAATCTGAATCTGTATACTCCTTCATCCCTTTACAGATACTGGCCCTGTCCATTAGTTGTGGCTTTCTTTCACTAGGGAATGGCCTCTGATGTCTCAGTACAGCCACCTGCAAACTACTAATTGGTCACAAAGCCTGTAGTCATTGGCTGTTCCTGTGGTCCTAGGCCCCTGGTCCAGCAGCTGCTGGCGCCAAAGAAGTCCAGGGGCCAAAGGGATAGATTTTTCATCTTTTTTTTTTGAGAGAGTCTCACTTTGTTGCCCTCTGTAGATTGCTGTGGTGTCACAGCTCACAGCAATCTCAAACTCTGGGGCTCAAGCCATTCTCTTGCCTTAGCCTCCTGAGTAGCTGGGACTACAGGCGCCTGCCACAACACCTGGCTATTTTTAGAGACAGAGTCTGGCTCTGGCTCAGGCTGGTCTCAAACCCACGAGCTCAGGCAGTCTGCCTACCTCAGCTTCCCAGAGTAGATTTTCCATCTTAATCTTCCTATTGAGTGTACATCTTGTTCTTGTCTGAAGAGATGAAGTCTACTTACTTTCAGATATTTGTGATAGGATTATTAAGTCATCTTTCTCTGAATCTTCTCTTTCCCTAGGAAACACATCCTAGTTCACGGGGCTTTTCCTTCCCTATCATTTTCTTTCTTCTGTTCTTATTTTTCTTCTCATTTCTTCATGTTTCTTTTTTATTTTATTTTATTATTTATTTATTTTGTGGCCGTGGCTGGGTTTGAACCCACCACTCCAGCATATGGGACCGGTGCCCTACCCTTTTGAGCCATAGGTGCCGCCCTCTTTTCTTTTTAGTCTACTGAACTTGACCTAATCTCCAGGAGAATGAATTAGGAGCTGAGGAACTGAGAACTATGCTTAGGTTTGGGGCTTGGGTACCTGGGTCGATGGGACTGGGTAGTGTCCCACTATCAGGTTAAGTTGATAGCAGGTACAGGGAGCTAGCGACTGACCTGGCAGTTTCAGGACATAGGTAGCAATGACATCATGAGAGCAGGAAAATCACTTTGGAGATGGGGGGGATCAGACAAGTGCAGAGGGCCTACAAGGCAGGCCAAGAAGCATCACTGGAGGGCGGGCAGGGGCAGAGGGGGACTGTAAGACTGGACAGGAACAGAGATGAAAGGAAACCAAGAAAGTGGTGTCTGAGCTATTTTAATTAGTGATGGGATGGTTATTAGAGGTCTTCACAAAAGCCATAGAAATGTGGGCTTTGAGGGGAGTGGGAGGAGAAAAGCATAAGCAGCCCTTCCAGGAGTTTCCCTGTGACTCACCCAGAAAGAGTGAGAGGGTCGTGGGGGCTGAGGGTATCAGCCTTAAGGAACTTCTTCCCAAGGTCTCTGTAGGAGGCTGACACATTGACTCTGCCCTCCCAGGTTTCAGGTACAATCCAGGTGCTTGGGACACAGATCAAGAAGCTCCACTCCCTTCTGGACAGCGCCTATAGCAGCCAGCACTGACCTCTCTTTTGAGGAAAACTTTGTGACTTCTGGCAAGGTCAGTCTCCTCCCTGGGGTCTCAGAAGTACCATGTGGTCCTTTATGCCCTCACTGTGGTCTTTTATTTATTTATTTTTTGCTGGGTTTTTTTGGCCAGGACTGGGTTTGAACCCACCACCTCTGTTATATGGGGCCAGCGCCCTACTGCTTTGAGCCACAGGTGCCGTCTCACTGTGGTCTTTTAGCCCTCACCTTGGCTCTGATTCTCTGTGTTGCAAGTGTGAGTCTTTCATTCACATCTGTCTCCCGCCAGCCTGAGGCCACGTAAACACAGAGGCTTGCCTACTCAATGGTGTCCACGACATGTAGAAAAGTTGTCAGGTGCCTTTTAGGTTCCCCAAAACCTTGAAAGCTAAAAGAAACATCTAAAGTTTGGTAAAGATGGTGGCACAGAAACCACTCATACACAGAGCATAACAGAGGTCATATCTTGCTAAGGAAGTCAGATTCTGGAGAGTTTTGTCTTAGGGGTGATTTCGTATTACCTTGCTATACCTTACATTGTCTTTCCACTTTCTCCTTTTATATTTGGGTATCCCCTTCCTCCTCAGTGTTCCAGAGTTAAGTATCAGATTCTTTTTTTTTTTTTTCGAGACAGAGACTCAAGCTGTCACCCTTGGTAGAGTGCAGTGGCATCACAGCTCACAGTAATCTCCAACTCCTGAGCTTAAGCGATTCTCTTGCCTCAGCCTCCCAAGTAGCTGGGACTACAGGCGCCCACCACAACACCTGGCTATTTTTTGGTTATAGTTGTCATTGTTGTTTTGGCAGGCCCAGGCTGGATTTGAACCCACCAGCTCTGGTGTATGTGGCTGGCCCCTTAGCTGCTTGAGCTACAGGCACTGAGCCAGAACCATTATTCTTATCTTGCTTTGAAGCCTGGATCCATCCCATTTCCACAAGTTCATAAATGTGTTGGAAATGGAAAAAATCAAAAAGTTCCCCAAAAAACAGATTCCCTCAGGATCAGTGGTGCAGGAACCCTATGTGTGTGCTGACTCCCCTGTAGGACCAGGCCCAAGAGTGCAGCTGCCACCCTGGCTTGTCCTAGCCCTGAGCACAACACCATAGCTACCAGCCCCTCTCATGTACTTGGCTGGGCTGCCAGCAAGGGCCTGCCAAAGACTAAGGTCACACTTGAGTTTGTAGACACAGAGAAGAAGGCTGCCAGTGGCTGCAGGAAGAAAATCAGACCCTCTGGCTCCCAAAAAGAGTCTGAAAGGGACCTGGCCCTACAAAGGAATAGCTACCCACTCCCTATCCAGGGGCACGTGAGTCCCTTCACCTGACCTGGACCAAGTGTTCCTGGAAAAGCAGGTAGAAGTTGTCCTTGGTCTCCCTACCTGCAGTGAGAAGAAAAAACCTGCTCCCCAGGGAGGCTAAGTGCTGGGCTAGCCCTGAGCAGAACAAGCCAAGGGGGGGCCACCCTGGAGTCTGTGGCCTCAAACCTGTGCTTGGGCAAGATCCCCTGTGCAACCTGAGAAGAAGGTATCCAGGCAGAAGTCATGGGCATGGATAAAGGTAGGGAAGCAGGCAGGAAGGAAGCCAAGGTCCCTTTCAGCTGTCCCTGTCAGCTCCAGCTGGGCCACTTCTACTGCAGCTCTGTCCAGGTCCTCCCCCAGTCCCCACAGATGGCCAGTCCTGATAGGCTGGTGGTGAACCAGTTCAGTGAAAATGAGGAGGCAAGGCAAACTGACATCCTCATGCTTTGCGTGGCACAGAGATACGGCATATCAAGACGTGGAAGAAGAAGCATTTGCTTCCCGGCTTGAGGAAGAAGGCAGGGCCCCAGCAGAGCCTCCAGAAGGCCCCCTGCTTGAAAAAGTTGGTCAGAGCTATAAAAACAGAAACTGAGGGCTTGGCTACCATCCTGCATTCCCTGGGCCCTCTGCATACCACAGGTCTGAAGGCTACAACAGACTTGGGCAGTTCTTTGAAGCTGACCACAAGAATATCTGCTGTTTTGTTTGTACTCTGTGTAATGCTGTTGTCAAACAGGGCGAAGTTAAAGGATGGTTCTGAACCTTGGGTCTTGTCTGTCACTTGGCAAGTAAGCATAGGCTGGAGTGGGCTAGAATGACAACTCCAGCCTGCCAAGGGGTGGGAGCGAAGTGGGTGGAGAAGACACAGTGGAAGGGCTCAGCCACCAATCCTGACAGCCTTGCCCCTAAGGAGCTTCCAGGTCCAAGACACCACCCAGACACCATGCCCTCAGAAGGCAGTGGTGAGTTGTTGTCCCTGGACAGGCTTGAGTGGCTATTACTGGCCCCACCTCCCCTGCTTGCTCCCCCTCCAGCAATCCAGGACAACCAGGGCACCATCTGTGCCCCTAGTCAGCCCTGCACACAAGCCTGGAACCACAGCATCGCAGAGTTGCTCTGCAGCCTGGCATTGCCACTCTCCTTTGTTTCATGCCAGCCCTTCAGGTGGTTTATGGCCCAGGTTGACCCCTGCTACCGTCTGCCCTCTCCAACCTTTTTCTCTGACAAAGCCCTGCCTCTGCTGCATAAGGCTGTGGGCAAGCAGGTGCTCCAGGAGATGTAGTGGGCTGAGGGAGGTCATGTGCACCTTCCCGTCTCCACAGTGGTCCAGGGTTCTCTTGTGAACTACGAAGCTATCACTGCCCACTGGAGGGTGATGCAGCAAGGCAGCAGGGCAGTACCATCAGAGAACCTGAGGAAGTGAGCAGTGCTCTGGGTTCAAGGCCTGCCCTTGGAGAGAGCTGCAGAGGACAGGCAGCCAGAGGTGCTGGGGGGCCACAGCTCCCTGTAGGCTGGCTTCCTGGTGTTGAGTGGCTGCCCCAGCTTGGAGTGGGCAGCCAAGGGCAAAGACTATATCCACACCCCCTGTTTTGCCCACTGCCTTGAATCTCTAGTGAGGAACTTTCTATGTCACCATCATAGCATACAGATCATCCTGGATACCGCCAAGGCCATCTTCAGCCATTTCCAAGGTTCCGTGGAGGCCCGGATGCACTTGCCCAGCTCCAGCCCCAGTGGGGCCTCTGGGCCCACCAGCCCTTTGAAGATCTCTCAGACCACTGGGTCCCAGCCTATCATTTGCGGGAGTGGCTGGTGGAGCAGCAGCAGCCCCTTCAGGAGTATGAGGAAGAGCACCAGCTAGGGAAGGCTGGCGCTGCCTTGTCAGCCACATTCTGGAGCCTGGCAGACAGTCTGGTCAAGCTCCTGCAGCCCTTCCAAATGGTGATTCAGGAGGCGAGCAAAGTACAGGCTTCTTGCCCCAGGTGTGCTATCTGCATATCTTCTTGGAGCAGATTCATAGGCACTTTGAGGAGTAGAGTGTCAGAGAGGTGGGTACAGCCATCCAACTGCTGAGGGCCTGGCCCTGCAGCTCTCCACAGACTGTCAGCTCAATGAACTCTTCTACCATGAGGAGTTTGTGCTGGCTACGTTACTGGACCCCTGCTTCAAGGGTAAGGTCAAGGCCATCCTACCTGTAGGGGCTGACATTGACCACTGGAAGCAAGTCCTCATGTACAAAGTAAAGGAGATTATGGTATCTGAATGTTCTTTGCCTGCCCCGTGCTTCCTGCAGAGCCCCAGGGGTCTGTGTGTGGAACCCCCTGGAATAACCAAGAGCCCTGGTGCAGGGGGAGCAGCCAGGAGGAGCCTTAGCAGGGCAGCAACTGCTCTGTGACCTTCCTTTTATCCCAGAGGGAGAAAAGCTTGCTGGAGCAGCTGGAAAGTTTGGGGCTACTGGTCTCCGAGAAGAGGGAGGCCTCGCTCTCCACTGAGAGCCACCTGGCCAGTTTCATCATCAAGAAATACCTGGGTGGCACCTGTGGTTCAGGGGATAGGGCACCGGCCCCATATACCAAGGGTGGTGGGTTCAAATTCAGCCCTGGCCAAACTGCAACAAAAAAATAGCCAGGCATTGTGGTGGGCGCTTGTAGTCCCAGCTACTAGGGAGGCTGAGGCAAGAGAATCACCTAAGCCCAGGAGTGGAGGTTCCTATGAGCTATGACGTCATGGCACTCTACTGAGGGCAACAAAAAACACTGTCTCAAAAAAAAAAAAAAAAAAGAAAGAAAAGCAATACCTGTGGGGCTGACTGGGAGATGCAGCAAGAAGCCTGGCCAGCTCTGGCCAGACTGGTTACTATCTACCTGTCTTGCCCCCCACCATGACTGCCTTTTCTAAAAGTATATTTGACTCCCTGAACAGCCCCATCATCATAGAACAGAACTCCTCTCTCAAAGTGGAGGTCGTTGAGTGTCTTCTCTTCTTGAAGACCAATCTGGAGAACTTCTCCAACTATACGCCCCCTCCCCTTAACTTCTCCCTTAGTGACCTGGCTGAGAAGGAGCCGACCTTTTAGCCTGTCCAGAGTCCAGAGTGGCATACAGGTGCCAGTGGTTCTGGAGTCTCCAGAGCTCTGAAGGCACCTACCTGTAGAAATTGTAGCTTGAGAACGGAGCAGAGTGTTATCAGATAGGGATGGCCAGAATTCCAAACCTATTTGTTTGGGGGGCTTTTCTTTTCTTTTCTTTTCTTTTTCAGTTTTTGGCCAGGGCTGGGTTTGAACCCACCACCTCCGGCATATGGGACTGGTGCCCTACCCCTTTGAGCCACAGGCGCTACCCTGTTTGTTTGGGGTTTTTTTTGAGACAGAGTCTCTGTCACTCTAGGTAGAGTTCCGTGGCTTTGTAGCTCAAAAGATCCACCTGCCTCAGCCTTCCAGAGTGCTGGGATTACAGGTGTGAGCCACTGCACCTGGCCTCCCAAACCTGTTTGTTAAGAATAAGGACAGTTGGGCAGCGCCTGTGGCTCAAAGGGGTAGGGCACTGGCCCCATATGCCGGAGGTGGAGGATTCAAACCCAGCCCTGGCCAAAAAAAAAAAAAATGCAAAAAAAAGGAGGAGGACAGTTATCAATTCCTAACTGATTGCCATATTTTTCTGAAAGATGTCATTTTCTGTCTGCCCCTTGCTTCATTTATATTTAGCAGTATGTGCATAGAAAAGGCTTATTCTGCTCTCAAGCAGCCATGAGTTGTACTCTAATGGCTTTACACGCTGTATTCCCTGTTAAAATAGTAGTGGGTATTCAGGACCTTGTATACACTGAAGGTATACATGTGCGAGGCTGGATGTGATGGCTCACACCTGTAATCCTAACACTCTGGGAGGCTGAGGCAGATGGATCACTTGAGCTCAGGAGTTCGAGACCAGCCTGAGCAAGAGCAAGACCCTGTCTCTAAAAATAGCTGGGTGTTTTGGTGGGCTCCTGTAGTCCCAGGTATTCAAGAGGCTGAGGCAAGAGGATAGCTTGAGCCCAGTTATTTGAGGTTGCTGTGAGCTATGGCGCCATGACACTCTACCAAGGGCAAGAAAGCAAGACGCTCATGTTGGAGGCAGTGAGGCATCTTACCAGGATTGGTCCTTGAAAGCCTCATGTGTTCTCCCTGCGGCTGCTAGACCACGTCCTCGAAGACCCAGTCACTCAGCCTTGTAAGTGGTGTGTGCAAGGGAGTTCCTAACCGTGTTCACTCCTAAGCTAGTGTGTGGGGAGGGCTACATACTCCTGGACTGAGGCCTTTCAGGTACGTCAAGAGGTCTGTGTCCCCAAAGCAGGTGACCCCATATACCACATACTGTCCTTGACTTCAGCAGTCTAGAGCTGCAGCTACAGCTGGAGCCTGGTGCTTCACTATCATTCACTTAATGCCACAGAGCTGGGTGTCTTCTTGTCCCCAGCCTGTCCTGCCTACATTCCATGTTTGGGGAGGGAGGCCCCGGCATGCAATTACCTAGCCAGACCCCCGGTTGTTCCAGGCCCTTTTTACTCCTCCCCATTCTCCTCCTTGGGGTCTGGATCTTTTGCTCATGTTTTTATAGCAGATGTCTACTGCCTAGTCCTCCTGCATCTCCACCGTAGGGGACAGATGCAAAGGCAATTGCTTCATTGCTGAATTACGAAAAAGGGGGGCTAGGTAAGGAAATGGGGATCGTGAGAACAAGAACCCCTGCTATTTGGATGAGGGGTAGGGAGCAGCCTCCCTAGCTCCCTGGTGGGTATACTGTGTCCTTGCTGGGGGTAGGGAAGTAATAAATGGATCAGGTTCTGGGCCTGGTTTTCTTGGAAGGGGGGGAATACAAAGTGGTGCTGATTATATAAGCTCAGACTTGAGAATCCACAGATCTGTAGTCATCTGCTTTTTGGCAACCAGACATCACCCCTTGGGCCTGGGTTAGCCTCCCAAGGGGTGGGAAGCTGCACTTGGAGCAGAGGTCTGTTCTTGTTTTCCTCTCCGCTTAAACTTTGACCCTTCTGTGGGCAGTATTGCCATTGTCCCTCCCCCAGGCTGCCTCTCTCTTGCTAGTCTTCAGTCTTGCACTAGTGCTTTGAGCTCATTGTTCCATTCGTGACTGAACAGGTACCTCTTCCACCTTCAGGAGCCACCTTCTGGTGCCCTCCTTCCAAGACAGCTTCCTTGATGATGTGGCCTCCCCCAGCTTTCCTGTCTAGGAAATCATGTCATATTCACAGCTGGCACACCATCAGTGCTGTTCTGTTGATACCTAACAAGTTGATGCCAGAGCAAAAGAGCTAGGGGAGCAATGGCTGGGGATCCAGGCCACATCCGAGCCTTCCCTGACCTGCCCCTCCCAACCTCAGTTTTCTCATTTAGGACTAAAGGTCTTACAGCTCCAATCAGAGGGCACAAGTTGGCCCACATAACCTGGAAACCATTTTGAATTCATTGCTAATGTTAGAAATAGCTGAGATGTTTTTGAGTGGATGAAAGTACAGCCTGCCCTCATTTGTGTTTGCATATGCATGGGCTGTCCCAGGAGGGAAACAAAAGACATTGGTTATGGTTGGCTTGGTGCCTTTAGCTCAGCGGCTAGGGCGCTAGTCACATGCACCAGAGCTGGAAAGTTTGAACCCAGCCTGGGCCTGCCAAACAATAATGACAGCTATGCCCCCCAAATAGCCGGGCGTTGTGGCAGGAGCCTATAGTCCCAGCTACTTGGGAGGCTGACGCAAGAGAATTGTTTAAGCCCAAGAGTTTGAGGTTGCTGTGAGCTGTGATGGCACAGTACTCTACCGAGGGTGACATGGTACAACTATCTCAAAAAAGAAAGAAATAAATCGGGGCTCAGTGCCTGTGGCTCAAGTGGCTAAGGCACCAGCCACGTACACCCAAGGTGGCGGGTTCGAATCCAGCCCAGGCTTGCCAAACAACAATGATGGCTGCAACCAAAGAATAGCCGGGTGTTGTGGTGGGCGCCTGTGGTCCCAGCTACCTGGGAGGCTGAGGCAGGAGATTCGATTGAGCCCAGGAGTTGGAGGTTGCTGTGAGCTGTGATGCCACGGCACTCTACCCAGGGGGGACAGCTTGAGGCTCCTGTCTCAAAAATAAAGAAAGAAAAAAAATCTGTTATGGTGCTTACTTACTGTCTATTCAGAAATAAAGCAACTTGGGAGGCTGAGGGGAGGATCACTTGAGCCCAAGAGTTCAAGACCAACCTGGACAACATAGCAAGACCACAACTCAAAAAAAAAGTAATTATATATATATATATTTTTTTTTTTTTTTAGAGAGGAGCCTCAAGCTGTCCCCCTGGGTAGAGTTTTGTGGCATCATAGCTCACAGCAACCTCCAACTCCTGGGCTCAAGTGAGTCTCCTGTCTCAGCCTCCCAAGTAGCTGGGACCACAGGCGCCCACCACAACACCTGGCTATTTTTTGGTTGCAGCCATCATTGTTGTTTGGCGGGCCTGGGCTGGATTCGAACCCGCCACCTTGGGTGGGTGTATGTGGCTGGTGCCTTAGCCACTTGAGCCATAGGCACTGAGCCAGTAATAAATGTTTTAAAAAAGAAATACCTCAAAATTAATAGATCATGGGTAGTTACTGAAAAATAATGACATTTTACCCTTGGTCCTGATTTGACAAATGAAAAGAACTGGTTAACTTAGGGCTGGAGTCCCATCCAGCATGGCCCTAACCAGCTGGAACTAACCTAGGCCTCTCTCCTTCTTGGACTGGGGCCTGCACTCTGTCTGTTTGTCACTCAGGTGGGCTTTGTGTCCTGTGTCTCTCAGACCTTGATCTTCAGATCTTGCCTGGGCAGATTGTTGGCTCTGGCAATAAAGGCAGGGTTAGACTTTGTGCCTTCACCTGCTGCACAGGACAGGTAGTAGTTGGGAGAGGCCCTGCCTGCTTGACTGTTTAATTATCTTTCCTTAGGGACCTGTTGGCCTCAAGCAGAGAATTGGAAATGGGCCTCTTGGCACTAGCCCAGGAAAATTAAAGGTGCTTCTTTTTGGGAAAAACAGTTGAGTGACCCCCAGTGGTACCCACATCCCTGTGACAGCATTACCAGGACCCAGGTCATCTGCTCTGGCATCGTTTCATGGAGCCTCCGGGAGAGAAGACGGGAGAAGCCGGTGGGCTGCACATCACACCCCAGCTGCTGAAGTCTCGCACGGGTGAGTTCGCCCTGGAGTCCATCCTGCTGCTGAAGCTGCGCGGGTTAGGGCTGGCTGACCTGGGCTGCCTGGGGGAGTGCCTGGGCCTCGAGTGGCTGGACCTCTCAGGCAATGTGCTCACCCAGCTGGGCCCGCTGGCCTCCTTGCGCCAGCTGACAGTGCTCAATGTCTCTAACAATCGGCTGACAGGGCTGGAGCCACTGGCCGCCTGTGAGAACCTGCAGAGTCTCAATGCTGCAGGCAACCTGTTGGCTACTCCTGGCCAGCTGCAGTGTCTTGCTGGGCTGCGGTGCCTCGAGCACTTGCGGCTCCAGGACCCTTTGGCCCGGCTTAGCAACCCCCTCTGTGCCAGCCCTACCTACCGGGCTATAGTCCAGGAGCTGCTGCCTGGCCTGAAGGTCATCGATGGCGAGCGTGTGACTGGGCGTGGCAGTGAGCTCTACCAGCTATGCCGAGACCTGGACAGCTCCTTGCACCCCAGCCCCAGCGCCAGCCCCAACTCTATAGCCACTGAGGCCCAACCCTGGGTGGAGCCAGAGTACTGGGAGTCTTGGCCCACCCGGAGCAGCTCCATCCTGGAGGAGGCCTGTCGGCAGTTCCAGAATACCCTTCAAGAGTGTCAGGACCTGGACCACCAAGCCAGTGACAGTCTTGCCCAGGCCCAGCAGGCCCTCAGCCCTGCGGGTACCACCTCTTCATTTGTCTTTTAAATGTGCCCCATGGCCTAACACGGCCTGGCAGGTGGCCTTATGGCCTGCATCTCCCCTCCTTGCCTTTAAACTTGTCTTCAGGGTTCCCTCCCACCAGTCACTGACCCTGCAAATTGGGCTATTCATTCATCTCTGTCTTGAGAGCAGCTCCAACCCCTCTAAGAACACATCCAGTGGCCCTGTATGGTATTAGGGCCGGCAGCCTGGCAAGTGTTGAGTCCACAGCTGCTGCCACTCCACCCTGAGACTTGGTGGAGGAGTTACTTCCACTTGTGAAGCTACAGGTGAGAAAGGTGGGAAGGGCCAACCTCCAGCCTAGCTGACCTGGGAAAGGATGGGCAGGGCTGAGTAGCCTAGAACATTCCTGGAAGCTAGAGCTCACCCCTGCCTTCCAAATTTCCCTGTCTAGATGACCCATTCTGTGCTGTCCTGGAGCCTTCTCTGCCCCTGCTCACCCAGGCCTTTCTATTAAACAGCTCTGCTTTCATTTGTGTCACTGCCTATCATTTTGCAGGGGCTCTTCTGCCAGGGCCTGCCTGCTGCTCCCTGGCGGCCCCCACCCCC